GGCGCGCACACTATTCGCTATAAGAACAGTTGTATAATAAATTTAATAATACTTAACAACAATTACCAAACGATGATAAATTATGATAATTAATATTATACTCATGATAAGTAATAAATGAATTAAATCAACTGCAGAAATTCCCGGCAAACATTAAGGTGTCTTGTGACCTGTTTTTACGAATTCGCGTATCATCCTCACCTCCGCAACTCTTTGATGGTGTGCTGTGCCTCCAGGTAGAGCGCGGATAGCCGGAGATGGCAGCCTGCATCTGTAGGTTGTCACTGGCGAAGTTTTCCTCGTCGTCTGTGTCGACGGAACGGTTGCAGCGGCAAAACTAATTCACATAGACGATGAGATGAGTTAGAGACGCAAGTTAAATGCATGACTCGAATAGCATGCGGCCAGAGCAGCTTAATTTCCACAGTTTTATTTCTCACCGAAATTATGATCATCATGCGATTATGTCCTTCGCATACTCTGCCTAAAAGTCGGCGATGGGCTCCACCTGGTGTTGGCCATTATTCAATATGTTTTTGCGGTGTCGGTAGTCGCGCTATAGAATTTTCGGGGCAGGTGTACGTTCTCGGTCTGTTTGAACAGAAAGCTGCGTATTTAGCACACAGGTGTGGGCTGATTCAGCTTCGTCTACCTGATAACTCTGCGCGCTAGTTCGCATGCGTCTTGGGGTGCCTGTGTCTAAGGGGGCGCTAGATCGCCATTAGGTGTGATATGATCACAAACCTTTAGCGCAAAGCTAGCGCACAACACCCGGCAGGAAAACGGGAAATTTTTGTATTCCAGCGTTTCGCGTTCTGCTCGGTGAGCAAGCGCACACACGCCACCCGACACAGCACACGCTGAGCAAAACATACACAGAAACACTGCGTACAGCGCCGTAGTCCACATGACATCAAAAATAGGCCATCCAATGGACATCCAGTTTGTGTGTCATGTGATATTTTTTAAGGATATTGAGTTGGAGACCGTCTGTGCGTTTCGCGTGTGTACAGAACGATTGACGACAACACCCAGAGGCAAACGTACGCTCAGGCGAAAACACGTTCCGGCGAATCAAACAATTGCTTGTTCAGCGAAACACGCTCATCTGAGCAATGTTTTTTTGTTTCGGGAATCCGCAACACAGCCACGAACATCGAGCGAAACATGTTTGCTCCACGTTCAGGTGTTTTGCTCGGTGTCATGTGTGCGCTAGGCGTACCTTCCATCCGCACATTAACAAAGTACCAATTGTGGTGTGTATGTGTGTGTGTGTGTGTGTGTGTGTGTGTGTGTGAGTC